TCTAAATTATCTTAGCCCTGTCCTTTAAAAAGGACATAACCAAAAAATGGTTATAAAAATGTCAACTTTTTTAAAGTTTCACCAGTCACATGAATCTCATATACATTAAGATTTGTAAGTATATGTTCTTATAGATATCAAAAACTATCCAAGAGATATTACCCAAGATGCATATTCAGTCGGTACTTGGGAAAAGGAAGAAACCTTAGAATTCATATGATTTTGAGTAAGGAAACATTGCTGAATTTAATATGGTATCTGGCACTCTGTTTGCAGTCTGACAGCTTTTAAGATGGGTTTGGTTCTGGTGGTAAATAAATGCCTAACCCATTACAGCACTGACATAGACTCTGGGGAAAGAAAGAAATTAGATATCAATAAACTGCCCCATTGATTTGAAGATGGTGCTGAAGATGCTTGCAAGGGGCTTTCTACAAAGATAATCTTCTTGTGAACAACACCTTTTAAACTGGGAGATATTAACTTAAATGCTATAAATTTGTCCAGATGATATAAAGAGAAAGAAAACTGAATGAGGCCGTAGCACCAATTCCTGAAGTTTATCTGAGGTTAATATGTTAACTTCCTATATTACTCTAGGCAAGAATCAAGATCCCTTTTTGATAAAAATGTATATTTTCAGCTATTATATTTGAAATGCATGCCCTCTAAGCATTAGGACCATTTATCATGGAGCCAAGGAGGGCAAGGTTTAGTTTTCATGGTGCTCTGGTCAATTACCTGGCAGCTGACTGCAGCTGCTTGATGTCATTGAGAACTCCACATGCATATACCCTGTTCTAGAACAGAGTTCCTCAAAGTGTGACCCATGGACCAGCAGCAGCATCTCCCTGGAGTTTGCTATAAATGCAGATTCTCAGTACTTACTCTAGACCTACTGAATGAGAAACTCACCTGGAGGTGGGGCCCAGCGGTCATTTTAACAAGACCTCCAAACAGTTATCAATCATGGTCAAGTCTGAAAATCACTTTCCAAGAGGCGTTTACATGGACACGTAAGGTCTTCTCTTGAATCACAGTGAGAAACTACAGCTCAAGACTATTCCAAAGGAGCCTTACTAAACTCTGACCCTACATCTCCTGGTAATCTCTTGAGGAGTCCGGGCAGCATGGAGTCTACATCTCCAAAGCCATCTCTCCTGAGAAATGGCCCAGGTCTTGGGAAATCCTCAGAACTAGCTATAGGATGTGACTCATGTGATGACAAAATGAAACGTCATTCATTTATTCCATGAACAGATATGTTTGAGTAGCTACTAAATCCTAGCCACATACCTGAGGCAAGGATCTTGTAGTCTTAAGAGAGAAGGTAATATACGAGTTCAATAATATAATACGTGAAAAAAGAGATTACCTCCAACTCAGGAAAGTCAGGATCAACTTCAAGGAAAATCAACTACAGATTTAGCTACTGGTTATTTAGGCAATCAGTAGCAATAGATATTTTTTGAGCTACCATAAAGCATGATGGGTGGTGAGGTTTGGTAACGTGAATTTGGTGACTCTGTTCTCCAGAAGGAGAAGGAAATGGAAAGAATCAGGTAAACTATAATTTAATAGCTGAGAAATGTGCAGGGCCTGACCTAGAAAGAAAATAGAATCCAAACAATTTGTACCAATGAATGGCTATGAGAGTATTGGTAAAGAAAAAGGATAAGTCATACATGCATCTGAAGTTTAGATATTAAAGTAAGCTTGTTATGATATTAAAATTAAAGTGAAATAAAATGTAAAGGACAGAGTTTGAGATGGGAAACTTATTATTTTGTGAGCATGTTAAATGTGAGGTTCATGCTAAATGTCCAAATTAAGGGGTCCAGGTTACAGGTAGGAGTGGGGGACTGTTCGTGGGTTATGAGGAAGAGAACAGAATTGGATATCTAGATTAGGGAGACATCTACAATTTATACAGAAGTGATTGTTGATGTGATAGGAGGAAATTAGATTATTAAAGAAAAGTGGGCTGAGAGAAAAATGAAGTGAGCCACAGAGAACATGTTGGTGAATGACAGTATTTATGGGTTGGAAAAGAAGTGTCCATAGAAGAGACAGGGGAACCAGAAGCAGACAATGTCGTGATATCCCTCTGGAATTTACCAGTGTGGGTGGACTGGTTATTTACATCTCTTCTGATTCCCAAGTCTTCTGTTGTTCATGTTGATCTGGTTTTAAAATATTTTTAAGCCTAGAGAAGACAAGGATCTAGTGTTTACACAACCCAGATTTAGGGGAGCTTTGACACTTTGTAGTACTTTGCAGCAAACTGGAAGAGAGCACCTTTCCAGACAGAAAGTAGTGCCAGCTGAGCATTCCTAATCTGAAAATCCGAAATCTTAAATGCTCCTAAACTTGAAACTTTTTGAGTGTTGACATGATGCCACCAGGGGAAAATTCCACACCTGACCACATGTGACAGTTTGCAGTCAAAACACAGATGCTCAAAACATAGCATCGTAGGTGGAGGCTGTCGTTTAACAGATGATACAGGTGCTCTGGTGATGCTACTGTGCTATTTAGTTACCCCAAACACATTGTTTGTTCACTGTATTAATGGTACATCATATTTTTTACTGTTAAGTACTTATGCGTGAATAAGTGTAAGAAAATGATTGCTTATCAGTGGCTTATAAATTCAGAGTCAGGAATGATGGTAATGCTGACCAACTGCAGATTGTCCACATGGGTGGCTGAGATAGTGACACCATGGTTCAGTGTACACCAACTTTGTTTCATGCACAAAATTATTAAAACTATTGTATAAAATTATCTTTAGGCCATGTGTGAACATAAATTTCATGTTTAGGCTTGGATCCCATCCAGAAGGTATCTCGTTATATATATATATGCGAATATTCCAAAATCCAAAAAAAAAAAAAAAAGTTGAAATCCAACACACTTCTTGTCCCAAGCATTTTGGATAAGGGATACTCAACTTGTATATGTGCAAAATACTACAATCCACAGTCTGACTTAAGAAGTCCTCCTTTTGGCCTGTGACCCTTTACTATGCTTAGTAACACATTAATCCCCTAGAAATGGACTGTTGACTTGTCTGCATCTCCTACTAGACTGGAAGATACTGACTAATATTGCAAAGGAAGATTAATATCCAATAGGTAATGCATGTGAATAACTAATGAATTAATATTTTAATTTTAAATATTAACTAATATTACATACTAGTTTTATTATGTGCTATTTTCTGTGATTGCTCACTCAACTAAAGTGTTTGTATCAACAAATGGTACCATAGATATAGTTGTTATTTTTGGTGAAAATTGAGTGGTACCCATAATACGTACAACTATATTCTAGTTGAAGAATAAAAGACATACTAAAATATGATGTATTTAGGATGAAGAATATTCTCAAAAATGTATTTTTTCCTGAAAGCCCGATTTTTTTTTTCCTTTTTGTCTTTTTTTGTGTCCGGCAACGGGATCGCAACCCTCGGTGCTGCGCCCACGCACCTCGCTCAGCCAGTGAGCGGGAACCGGTCTGTATGTGGGATCCGAACCCTTGGCGGGAGTGCCGCCACGCTCCCAAGCGGCGCACTGTAGCAGTGCGCCACCGGGCCGGCCCCGAAAGCCGATTTTTTTTTTAAAAAAGTCTTCCATAGCTGAAGATTTTCTTCCTGGGATCCTAGAGTGAAATTGTTAGTTTCTTATATACCCATGTTAACTTTAAGTGCAGTAAACAGTTTTCCAAGTTTGCCTTGAAAACTTATAATCACAGAATAACTTTTAGATGGCTCAGGATTATCAGACTACTAGAATTAACACTCATATATGGATCTCAGCTTTAGTGTCCTTGAAATCAAAAGGAGTGTCCCAAAGCCATCCAGAGCAACAGTCAAGGATGTCCATCTTTGACGTTTTTATACCTTAAATATTTTAAATTTTATGCCTAATGCAGAGTTAATTTTATTCTGAAATTTATAAAGTGTTTCAATTTGACTTGATCTCATAATCAAGTAATACACTGATGATCCTCAGGGAAGCATGGCAGAGAGCTAAGGATATTGATATTAATAGATTCGGCATATTGACAGTATGTAGAACTGAGGTGAACTATGAATCCTGATATCATATCCTAAAAAGGAAATTGACAAATGAGAGGCTCTCCAGAGGATAAAAGATTTCTTATTCTTAGAAACAATGAATGAGAAATTTTGGATACTGTGTTAAAAAAAAAATTGAGGTAAAGAGAAGCGTGTGGTAGTAGTCCACAAACATTTGAAGAGTTCTCATGTAAAAAGGGGTAAGAGTGAGGAGAGAAATCGCATTTTACTACCAAATTTCTTTCATTTATATTGTACTTTTTGATTCTTATGGCCAAACTTATTAGCATAATGAAAAATAATTTGGCAATATTTTGTGTGTGAGATAAATGGAGACCAGTAAGACAATGTGTTTTTCTATAATCATTCAGTTTAATAATATTCTCAGTCCCCAAATCCAAGAACTGATTCTCAGTAAAAAAATAATTATTCTAAGTTCTATTTTATTTTATCCACAACAGAAAATCATCACAGCACACACAATTGAAAAATCGTTTCCTCACAGTCAAGCCAGGTGCAGTTTTCTCTTTTTTTTAAAAAAAAAAATGGAAAAATGGCCATAGGCAAGAGTAAGATTTAGAGGAAGAGCCTACTACTCTCCAAATATGTGGCTTCTCTATGATTTGTGCATCAAAAATGGTGCAAGTCAGCATTTCATTATTATTTTCATTGATTTTTCTCCTACTATTTTTACAACAGCAATAACAAAAAAAATCAAAATGTGACCCTTTTCACTTCCAAACTAATCCCAGAATATTTGACATTATTGAACTCTTAATGAAGATTAATAAAGGCTTCTTTTTTTCAGTCTCCCAGAAATGGGATATTTGGAGATTTTTATGAAAAAACGTGGTTTCATGTCTTATTGTCTTCTTTGTAGAGTAATGACTTCAACTTTACTCTGTAATGTTTTTGACAGACAATAAAGATTACGATGCATATTTATCATACACCAAAGTGGATCCGGACCAGTGGAATCAAGAGACTGGAGAAGAAGAACGTTTTGCCCTTGAAATCCTACCTGATATGCTTGAAAAGCATTATGGATATAAATTGTTTATACCAGATAGAGATTTAATCCCAACTGGAAGTAAGTTAATGTTTTCACTTGAGAGTGTGCATATTCGTGTAAGTGTCTATGTAATCATTGCTTCTTACACCGAATTTCAATTTTTGTTCCTTTACTTCAAAAATTGTGTCATAGTTTCTCAAGAAAGAAATGTCTTTATGTGTTCATGTGAAATTTAATTTTTGATACCTCAGAGAAGATACTTCCATTATTCTATAAAGCATCTCATTTTATGAGCATTGACATTTAAAGAAACCAAATGATAGATTTGTACCTGGGAAAAATATTTCTAACATTAGGAGAAGCCAGGGCCAAACTCTCTTCAAAGTGATCATTGGCTATTACCATCTTTTGAAGGTGTTACCCAGGAAACAACAATTCTCGTTTAATGTGTGAAAGAGAATCCACCAGGGCTTTTTGGATCAATCATTCAATTCACTCATTCTGATACACTCTTTTCTCTTTTGTAGCATACATTGAAGATGTGGCAAGATGTGTAGATCAAAGCAAGAGGCTGATTATAGTCATGACCCCAAACTATGTCGTTAGAAGGGGCTGGAGCATCTTTGAACTGGAGACCAGACTTCGAAACATGCTTGTGACTGGAGAAATTAAAGTGATACTAATCGAATGCAGTGAACTACGAGGCATTATGAACTACCAGGAAGTGGAGGCCCTCAAACACACCATCAAGCTCCTGACGGTTATTAAATGGCATGGACCAAAATGCAACAAGTTGAACTCTAAGTTCTGGAAACGTTTACAGTATGAAATGCCTTTTAAGAGGATAGAACCCATTACACACGAGCAGTCTTTAGATGTCAGTGAGCAGGGGCCTTTTGGGGAGCTGCAGACTGTCTCGGCCATTTCCATGGCTGCGGCCACCTCCACAGCTCTAGCCACTGCCCATCCAGATCTCCGTTCTACCTTTCACAATACGTACCATTCACAAATGCGTCAGAAACACTACTACCGAAGCTATGAGTACGACGTACCTCCTACTGGCACTCTGCCTCTTACCTCCATAGGAAATCAGCATACCTACTGTAACATCCCTATGACACTCATCAACGGGCAGCGGCCACAGACAAAATCAAGCAGGGAGCAGAATCCAGATGAGGCCCACACAAACAGTGCCATCCTGCCACTGTTGCCAAGGGAGACCAGTATATCCAGTGTGATTTGGTGACAGAAAAGCAAGGGACATCCCATCCCTGGGAGCTTGAGTGGAATCTGCAGTCCAGTGCCTGGAACTAAATCCTCGACTGCTGCTGTTAAAAACATGCATTACAATCTCTAGAACACGAGGAAAAACAGGGTCTTGTACATATGTTTTTTGGAATTTCTTTGTAGCATCAGTGTCTTCCTGTTTTACCATGTCTCTTACCATTACATTTTTTGACTTTGTTTTATATGTCATTGGAATTTGTAAATTTACATTTTTTTTAAAGAAGAGACTGATGTGTAGATAGAAAACCCTTTTTTGCTTCATTAGTTTAGTTTTAGAATGGGTTTTTATTTCCTTTTTTTAAAGTTTTATTTTGCTTTTAACATTTCCTTGGGGTGCTTGGACAAATCTATCCGATGGGACAAGGAGCACCGGATCCTCTCTCGGGTTCTGCCTACGATCAGCTGGGCCACATCGACCTTCAGAGAGCAGTGCAATGGATGCCAGCATTGCCAACTGAGGAGAAAAAAAAAAAGATGAGAAGAACACTTGTTTATAGGAGAGCCCCGCCAGTCAGAGCCCTGAATCTCTTCCTTGTCCTGCCTCACTCTCCACCTCTACCCTTTCTAATGGTGGCATGATATGTAAACTCTGTGGAGGGGTGGGGGTGGGTCCAACTGTCTTAACATTTAATTCACTGTTCTTCAGAATACACTCTAGACCCAAAGGTGTGCTAGTCACTTGACAGTGACCACTACAGAGTGCCAAGAAGAGAAGATCAAGGGCATGAAAATGGGGAGAGTGTTGTTTCTGTTTTTTAAATGAGTTGATGTACCCTTATATATATATATACATATATATATAAATATATATAAAAACAACAAAACAAAACAAACAAAAAAAACAACAAAAGAAAAAAAGCAAACAAAAAAATGAAGCCCTATATTTGATCACTTCCTGAAAAGGCATGAATGTGTTTGTGGCTGTTTTTGTTTAATATTCTACTTCCTCTTTTCCTTCTATAATTTTTCTGCAAATGAGATTCTGTGCAAATGCTAGGCAAGTTAACTCAAAGGGGTGGATCAACGTGAGTCAAAATGAAATTTACTTTGAAGGCTTCCAAACCAAAGGGAAGGACAGGATGTGTCATCAAATATGTTTTGTCACTTTGTATTATACAAAATGTTATTTTCTGAAGAGTCAGAGAAAACCTTTGAAACTTATGTGGGGTCCCCTTGTATGTAAATGTTAACTCACTTGTATTTAATTTTCAATGCTACATTCAGAATTAAGTGTTTGGTTTCAGTTTATGAACATAAGCAACATTTATTAATATTAAGGTGTTTAAATAAGAACTCAGGAGGTCAAACATATGAATACCAACAGAGATCAGTATTTTCAAAATAAACATTATTTACACAAAATAGTTTTAAATTAGATCAGGAAATGTTTAAAATAATTACTTTTACTGTGTAAAGAATGTGTTTTATTTTAACTATGTGATTCTATATTTCAGAAACAGAAAGTTGATGCTCCCAGGAAATTCATCCCTTACCATTTAGCTTTATGTTTCAAATCAGTGACATAAGCAGCTAATTCATATTCATGTTAAGGGTGATGCAAAGTCAATCACAAAGGAACCTGCAGAGGGCAGAGTTGTTAAAAGGAAATATTACCTATGTAGGATTTAGTTTAAAAAAATCAATGTGATAAAAACACTGATAATAGAACTTACACATTGCTTTAGTGATTCATTGTAGGATCTTCCCTCCTAGTCATCATCTGTGGGCTTGTGTAGTGACTACTGTGTGTTTGGCTTATTCCTACCACCATATAATGAGAAAACAATTCTACAGTTTTGGTCATAATACTAAGATGTGAGTTGACTACCCCCAAAAAAGTGTAAACTGCAATAGAGTTCATTGGGTAGGGTAAGTGTGAATTGCAAATGTATGAGAGATGAGTATAAGCATTTTCTAACAATGCAAAGTTCTCAGTATCTGTGTGACAAGGTAAAGGAGCCTTGGGATGTGCATTGATTTTTATTTGTTCAAAAAGTGTTTATTTCCTGACAACTCACTTGGGTCCTTCTCTACAATCTGTTCTTTATTCCCATGCTTCCCTTGGATCTATGTCACATTTTCACAAACCAGAACTGAAGCTGCAAGGACACATAAACTTTAAGGTCAGCTTTGCACATTGGGTTATTTTCAGAATCTGAAAAGGCCATTGTTTACTTTGTACTACGGACACCTGTCAGGGACTGGTGGCAGTGAACCTCATTGGACTGGATTCCAAACTCCCCCAGTGCTTATAAAACTGTAAACATAGCAATGGCCTGGTTTATTTCTTTTTAATTATTTTTAAGTGCACGATGGAAGTGTGGAATAAACGTAGAGGAAGTAATCAGACCACAGTCATATTTTAGGCATCCATAGGTGTTAATTTAGCTGCATTGGAGTACATTTTTTGTTCTACTTTTAGTGTAGATTTAAGCACTTTGAATAGCATGATTCAGGGATTGATGGGTAATATTTGATATTCTCACAACTTAAGAAACTCTTTTTCCTCTAATGCTTTGTCATAGTTAAAAAAATGAAATAAATGCAAAAGAAGCTATCTATGGCTTTAGAAACATTCTTCCCAAGTATTCCTCTATCAGCTCCATGTGAGAAAAAATGAAGAAACTGTCATGTGTTCACGTGCTCTATGTTTAACAAAAGTTCTGTTAGAACTCACAATAAAAGAAGAAAAAAATGTTTTTCCCCTAGTACTTAGGTTTCATCTTTCTCTTTTTTTTGGTGGGGGCTGTGGGGGATAAGGATATTCTAGTTGTAAAAACACAGTTGAAAATGTGAATATGTTAGCCAAGCTGGGGGAGAAAATGGACTTTCAGACTTGGATGTGTGTGATGTCGATACTGCCTGTTTTTCATCAATCTCCACTTGGGCTCCAAATGACACGTTGTGAATTCAGAAGTCCATCTGGTTCTTTAGTGTAAACTCTACTTGCTGCTTATGAGCATACTACCCTTTATTCTGGTGCTCAAATCTTTGATTATTTAATTTGTACTCCGTTCCTTAGGTTTCCTATGGGCAGAGAAGATATTTGTATATCATGTAGCCACCTGATTTAAGTTTAGATCAATTCTATGAAATAAATCCAAGACATGATGAGTTGAGACCTGAACCTACTATATTTCTATCACTAAAACACTTGATTATTCAGCCAACCATTTTATGATTATAACTTTCTTCACGGTATATGCATTTTGACCCTATCAACTTAAATATATAGATGCTGGTTTCTTACATATTTCATTATTATTTAGCACTTTATAACAACAGCAAATATTAGCTGAGAGCCAAGCCCTAAACTTTAAGTAAGTTTTGTCTATCCTAGAGTAGTCATTAACTTTTCAGATACCATTTACATAAATTGGGATCCCCATTTCTAGGAAAGATTGATTCATACATTTGTAAATTATTTTCTGATTCTGGAATGATACCTTAGGTCTCCTTTTTCTAAGGAGTATTTTTTTTATATTGCACTTAATTTTTTTCTTGTTTTATTAGTTTAAGTTTATATCATTAGTCCCAGAAGAAAGCTTATTAAAATTCAAAGGATAGCATCGACACTGTATAAGCAAAATGATTGAATGGAACTAAGAGAATACACAGACATAGGAAGAGGAAAATCCCTTGCTGTCTCTGACCTGAACTAGCTTGGTCATTAATCCCATTGTTGACATAGTTAGTTAATAGAGGTGAAATATTATTAAATAGGTTAGAAATCCCACCTACAAACATATTTCCCATTACTGAAGAATTTTTCTAACAATATATATAATTATCACGAAAAGATAACGATGCATCTGGGTTCCCTAAAAGGAAATGTTTGTCAGTGGAAGCAGAGGCTACTCCTTACCTTATGATGAATCCTTTCCATTTTATTGTTCTGAGCAAAGAAAGAAACTAAGTCAAATTTTGATTACCCTTATTAAGAGACCTTCAACTTGGGTTCAAGGATACCTTGGGTATATAAAAAGGATTAATGGAAACAAGAAAGCTCTTGAAATTTCAGACAAAATTATTAATGTGTGTAAAACTATGTTTCCCGGGGTATGAATCTCCACATATCCATTACTTACCTAGCTATTGATGTTTGGATTTAGAGAATATTCTCAAAAACTGATATTCAGATAAACCCACATATCTTACAGGCATTATATCTACCGTTCTCCACCTTTATTCATAAGTATTCAAGAGGTAATTATTGTTCTAATAGAGGCAATTCTTCCTCCAAAATGGCTTGGCGCTGTGGGAGACCTAGTATATAGTCAAGAAAAACTTTGTATAATGACAAATAATTCATGCCCAGATAAATGAGAATTGGCTATTATTGCTGTGAAAGTTTACTCATTTCTTCACCCACTCAAAAAATAGTTCAGGGGGGAATACAGATTCATGTAATTTGGCAATGATGCCTTATTTCATTAAACTTCTATGTGATTTGTGTTTAATCATGTTTCCTACATAAAACTAACAATTCACCCACTGCAAGAAAAGAAGAAAAAAACCATTTGACATGTTTTCCCAAAAGGACCCAGTTTTCTTATGCAAAGATTTAGAACTGATTACATATTTGATTTTCAGTTATTATGTTTTTGTCAATTTCATGATTTATGATATGAATTTGGAGCAATATGAAGAATTTTGAGAATAAACTATAGTAAGGTAGTGATTATTTTAAGTTTTACTTTTACTTGTGTTTGGTAGCAAGGGGGAAGTTTATGATACATTAATAAATTGAGATATTATCACAAGGAGTTGTAAGACTGGACTAAATTTGAGTGAAGAGAAGGACGATGATGGGTTAATCCTCATCCTAATCCTAATGTTATGTGTCTTATCATCAAACTTCAATCATATCCATAGAAAATGCCCAGACTAAAAAGAGGAAACTCACTTCAGCTCCAATCTTCCCTTGTGTATCATTTCTTTATGCCAGGCTCAGAGCACAACACATCTTTCCATTACACCATTACAGACTATGTACATATATATATGTATATATGTACATATATATATATATATATATATTTCTTCTCATTAGTAAATTTTCTTCTAAATAGCCTTTGGTCCATTGACAAACTTATGTTTCTTAGTTCTGCATCAAAATAAGTAAAGTACCATTGTTTTTCCTACCATTCACTACCTTCATTGATGCATCCCCCGGAGTCCATAAGTCTGGAAAGTATTCTCTTTCTAACGAAGGCAATCACTCTAAAAAATCATTACACTGTGTTCCCTCCACTACCAAATGAATATAATCTGAAAAACTGCACATGAACTTGAGAGTATTACATGTATACTGGTGTCATGTAAATTTCAATCTTCATAATCCAGATAACCGTAAGTTTCAATGGGCATGCTGTGTCATTAAAAAAAAAAAAAAAAAAAAAAAAAAAAAGATTTAACGTGAAATGACATTGTTACATAGTGCATGAATATGTGGCAAAGTAATTTGGATCTGTCTTTACTAGTCAATGAGAGATTAAATTTGGGGAGATCAGATATGAGTGTTTTAGGTTAATTCTCAACTGAGATAAAGACATCTTAATATTAGGATACATGAACAATTGTCCATATTCCTTGCAGTATATGCTCCTGTTATCTAGAATCTTTAGTGTATTCTTTCCACCAGAGTAGTGGAGGTATGTTCATATAATCTGCTATTGAATTGCAAAAACTTTCATATTTTCAGAGTTTGAGGGAACCCAAATAGGAAAGTGGATTTAGTCATTTTCCTCTGCTGGTGTTCAAGTCATATTTTAAACTCAGACACTCTCAGATCTGTTCAACAGTCAGTAAAAAGTGCATTTTACATAGTGTT